CACCTCATCCCACCTCCTCCCACCCCGTCCCACCTTCTCCCACCTTCTCCCACCTTCTCCCACCTCCTCCCACGCCTCCTGCCTGCCGCCTCCCGCCTGCCGCCTCCCGCCTGCCGCCTCCTGCCTCCCGCTTCCCGCTTGCGAAAAAATGAGGTGGGAGGGTGAGGTGGGAGGCGGGAGGCAGGGGAGGTGACACTTATGCTGCTGGACACCTCATCATCTGGGTGATAGTAGGCCTAGTGAACGCGGCACTTACCATACTGATTTGGCCTCCAGCTGCAGCCAATGCTCTGCCCGAGGGCGCGCCGATCGCAGCGACAAACTGGAAGTCAGCAAAGCTAAGGAGCTGAGCGCTCAAAACTTTTCAAGAAAACATGACATGTTCCTGGACTTGTCAGGCTCCCACCCGGTCATGGCAGAGGAGCAGCAAGCTGCCCAAATCCATTTTGGAAACCACAGGCAAGAGCCTTTCACATAGGACTAGTTCTGGGCAGCCTGCGCTTGCATGTGGTTCACGAGTCGCTGTGTGTGATTTGATGGTTCAGGGTGTATGTCCAGCTTCTTCGAGGGCTTGCGGAGCCATGACAAATAGCTGCGCGGAATAGTGCACGCTCCCATCTAGACCACCTAGCCTGCTCAAGGCAGCATTAGCTTTACAACCTCAACCAAGACCAGCAGGCAGAGAAGGCCTGTCTTTCACATCTTTCACAACTGTCACAACTCTCAGCTCTGGGCCACGAGCGCCGCGACCCCGAGAACTGCTCCCAGATGCCTGCACTTCAGCACAAGTGCAACGGCCCCAAGGCATGCGCGTTCCCAGCAGGGGGAGGTCATTGCGTAGGTAGATTTTTTCACCGTCGCGAAACACCAGCGCAGGGAGCCGTCAAACTGATTACCTAGAAGCGCCACCATGCGTGACGTTCATGACTGCAAAGCTGAGGGGTCACAAACACACAAAATGTAATGAGGGCTATCACGGCAAACCCGCAAGGAGTTCGGACACCAACGGCAAGGTGAGCCGAGCATTTCATTATCATCATGCAAGCTTCCGAATATGAGAAGCTTCAGAAGGCATTTTAGGCAGGGGCACTCGGCACTTGCAGTATAAGAAGCTGATCCAGCTAAACTTACCTTGAAGATGCAGTCTCCATCTTCGGAAGCAGCCAAAGAAACGATTTCTGCGTCCGTCCATCTATCATCATCTTTGATCTTCGTAAATATCGTAAATACATCAAGCTCCAACACACAAGCACAGACCCAGATGGCCCAGATGAACGTCCGTCGAAGGACCTCAACGGTCAAGTTGTGAAACTGTTTCATGAAACCTCACCAACCAGCTCAGGCAGTCGAGTCGCTCTGAACCTGCCACAGTTTCCATTTTCTTTAACCCCCTATCCCTATAATAACCCTATATAACCCCTATATAACCCTATATAACCCTACGTAACCCTATATAAATTAAGCTACTGGCTGGCCAAGGCCTGCAGCAGTTGTGAGGTCAGGAGGTCTCTGGAGGTCTGCGACATGAGCGCTCACACACAGCCCGTGCGCCTCGCGCTACGCCCACAGCAGCTTGCGCAAACTTCTCGTCCAGCCTCGTTCCTGCAGGCCATGCGAACTGGAAGGGGCAAAAAAAGCCTCAAGGGACAGCCTGATAGCCCGAGACCTGAAACGCAACAAATCCAAGAAGCTCCCACGCACCTAACGAATCTGGCAAACAGGATGCGAAACAATCTGGCACTTCCACCTCCTCGTGGGAGCCAGCGGGTGCCTGCCGCAGTCGCTGCAGCTGCCGAGCTTTGAAAGCCTTTTGCACCACATGGAGTCTGTTTTCTGGGGATGGAGTGGCCGTCACTAATGAACACTGCTTGCACTATGATCTTTGGGGCGATTTCTGGCCGTTGCGGTTCAGGCTTGTTCTGACAGGGCCGCCCGTGGCCATTACATTGTGCCAACCGCTCTTCCTAATACTGCAAATGCTTCTCAGCCCCTTGCATACTCCAAAGGGTCATGTGCCTGCCAGCAAGGAGAAACTTTTCGGAAGTGTCGGAATCAAGTCTCAAAGTTTGCACCTACATCTTCAGGAGCAAACTAATCTGAACATTCGCCTGTAATGGACGGGTTGGACCGCTGGAGCAGAGCCATTGTAGACTCCTGGCATGTTGGGAAACTGTGCAGTGGATCTTTGTGGATGCTAAAGCAACACCTGCAGACAAAATGGCCGCGTTTGAAACCGGCACCCTTCCGATGCAAAAAAAGATGGGCACTGGAAATGCTGATATGCAAACAAAAGATGGGCACAGGAAATGCTGATATGCAAAATGAGGGCAGCGTGGATGCCTGTCGGACTGTTCAACTGCGAAGCTTTCAAGTCTCCCGCCCGGCAGACCAGTCAACTCACTCTGCAAAGAAATGTCAGCCCTGTGCCCAGCCTGTAGCCAGCTACCATCACAATTCCAAGAAGCATGCTAAGTGCCTTGGCTGAGATCTGAGTTCTGCAATGGTTATGGGTTGCACTTCCTTCATGCCCAGATTTATCCGAACATCAAAGCCTAAGCCGAGGCGCCATGTAGAAATGCAGTGTTCGGAAAGGAGGTGGCGTGTCTGCCAACGCAAGTCGGACTGATTGACGAGGATCCTATAAACATGCTCTGACTGAAAATCTCCGAGGAATGGGCGTGCATCGGTGGTAACCCATCCTGTCCTTGTAAGGTCCCTTCATTACAGCCATCACAAATACCGTGTCCGAGTACGACGGCTACGATGGCTACGAGGTCACAAGCGACCGGTCTGCTTAGGTTGGTTCCTAGGACCCTTTCCCTGTACAAACACCTGACTAGGCTAGCGAGCTGCAACCTGATCCTGTATACTGTATACGAAGCGACATGGCCTTATTCCCCAGCATAGCCTCATCTGCCAGCAGCATCCCAATGAGCTAAAAGTAAAATAGTACAGGCAGCTACGCGGACGAATGATTTTCCTCATGCGCTGAGAAGGACATGCCATGTACCATGATGTCATGATACTGCCACTGCAACCCTTGAAATTCTCAACCCAACTCCTGATTTGGTAGCTTCCCTAAATAGGGGGACCCTAATACAGCCCCAAAATACGAAATTCCTTATTATAGGAATCCCAAAATGGTACCCCTAATTTTGGAAAATCCCCTTTGCTGGAGCCAACACTTTGACGAAGGCCTTCGGCCTCGCCTAGGGACCAGGTCCTGGGGCCAACCTGCAAATCGCTTTTTCTTACTGGCTCTTAGTATGGAATAAGGTATCCCTACATGCTCCCTATGTAATGCTGTTGATGGAGGAAATCTCGCACCACCTTAGGTGCCTAAAGTCCTAGGAGTTACAGTATTCAAGGGACCCTGACTGGTGCAAGATTTCCTCCATCAACAGTATATCCCTTGTCCCTACTAAGAGCCAGTTAATTTTGGAAGTTGTCAGGATTCTGGGCTCCAAGAGCTCAAGGCGGGTGCCTGGAGAGCTGTTGCCCGGTGAGCCCGAGCTGCCGGCCGCGCCTCCCCGCTTCCGCTTCTAGCACAAGCATTCGAGTTTTGAGGTTGGCTCTACATGTGATCCATAGTCTAAACTCCTACCATATAGGGGTTGTTAAGGGGGACACTAGGAGTCCAGACTATGGCTCATGTGGTATGTGGTATTCGAGTTTGGGTAGCTAGATGAACTAGCCTGTAGAGCGCTCTTGCCACACAGATTTATTTCACCTCTATTTGCGGGTAGACTCCCAAACGACAAAGCCAAATCATGGCAGCACAGGAGACAGATAAGAGCAATATAAAACAAACAGCAAACAGACAGGAGCCAGTCGCCTTGCCTCCGGCATATCCCTGGATGGGAGCTCAGCCTGCAAAATGCATGTAAGGCAATGTGAGGCAAAGTTCCAGGTTTAGCTTGCTTCGAAGTTCAGGCAACTCAGCCTTTGAACGGAAACGATACTGTCCAACATGGGTTTGCCATCAGGTGCTAGCGGTCTAGCGACTTTTCCTTTTCTTGCAGAATCGGGATTGATTTGCATGCCTTCCCAAATCAAAATTGTTGAGTGGGAACACTCAGCTGGGCCTGACCTCAGTGGCGTTGATCGCCACCTGCACATCTCAGGCATCCACATCCCATGGCTCGAGGAACCCACACAAGTTTTCCAAAGACAACTGACAGAAAACAACCTCATGTGCTGCTGCGACTAGCCTCGATCCTATCTGTTCGGTTGACGCTCACAAGGGCGCCCGAGAGGGACAGAAGCGACAGCCTCAGGTGGAAGGAGTCTGAGGGTACAAGATCTCTCAGGCTGCGTGGCGAAAAGACACTCTGCCCCAAGGAGCGTTAAGGCCTACGGCCCGAGTTACTTCTGTTGAGTGAGGGGAGCGCCACACCAAATGCAGCACAGGCTCATGAATAATCGTCCCAAGGACGTGTTATGGAAGCCAAGACTTGCAGTCATGTCTTGTCCTGTCAGCAAGTTTGGCGCCAACATCAGCCATGGAAAGAACGCAGACAACATGCTCCGGAGTCACGCTGCGCTAGCCAAAGGTTTGGAGCATCAGTGGCTCAAGAGCAGGAGACTCCCCACAAAACAAAATCTAGGCCGGCCGCGCCTTTATCGAATTTAATAGGGCTGTAGTTGGTGAGGGATGAGCCACTAACAGCTGCAAAGGGTGACGTCTTAAGCCTGCCGTCAGAGGTGACTGCCAGGTTGACACTGGACATGTCACTTCATGCCTACTGATTAACTGATTGTAACAGGCTAGCTTGCCCCACAACACTCAGCAAGCGCTTATCAACCCGTCGGCCTGACGTGTGTCTTCCGCATTCAAACCCAAGCACGTGCACTTCTGCAAGATGCTGTCTTTTGCCACCAACGGCACAAGCTTGTAGTTTGAAATCTTCACCAAGAGTGTTGTGCTTGGCTTGACCACGATCAAACTTTAGCAGTAGCTTGATGGCAGGTGCGCTTGCGTGTTCTCTGAAAGACGGAAGTCAGAGGACCTCCCTCCCTGGCCTTAGCTCCACATCATGCCCGCACGTAGCTCTCCTTCCAGCAGCGATAGCTAAAGATTCAGAAGAGCGTCTTCTTCCCTCCGCCACGGCGTGGCCGCCATGTGCTAGCAGAGGTGGGGTCCCTGGACATGGTCCCAAGCAGGCACTTGGAAGGCTGGAACCCAGCTGCCGTCATACAGCCCACCATCTCCGAGGCCACGTCTGATCGACCACGGTTGTGGGCCATGACCACGGCGGACTCGATAATCTCCCGGTTCAAGCGGATGCTGGGGCAGGCCAAACCATCAGCCAAGACCTGCGAAGCCCGAACGGCCTCCCCGTGCTTCACACAGCCGCTCAGCAGGGTGTCATACGTCTTTCCGTCTGCCTCGCAGCCATCCTCGAGCATGTGCTGATATGCTTCGAACGCTTTGGGCAAGTCTCCACTCCAAATGCACGTTGACATAAGGCAGGTGTAGGCCTGCGCATTGAGCCGAAATCCGAAGCGCTTCGGATAGGTGTCCGTGACATCAAGGGCCGCCTGCAGATCGCCGCAGCGGCCATAAAGCTTGATAAGTATGGAGACCGTGAAATTTGAAGGCGCCACCCCAGCTTTCCTGGCAAAAGCTTGCGCAAACACAAAGACTTGTTTATCGTGCAGACTCAGCTTAGATGAACCTGCTATCCCGTGCAGCTCAGCTTCTCCATATCAGCAAGCACCTGTGCCGGCATGATAAGATTCTTTCAGAGACATACGTACGCCCCACTTTTGATTCCTGAATGCTTCGGACGTCTTTTGGGAACTCCCAGCCCCGGCACGGCCTCGCAATTCCAACTACTTGCTGCGCCTCCTCCGTCAGAGCGCGCCTCTGACTCCGGGCACAGCCATGCCTTGCTCAGTAGCTATGGAGGACCACGGTGCAACACGAGAATGGAACGAGGGTGGTCACCCTGCGCAGATTTTCCAGCAACATTCTTGCTGTTTCTTCAACCCGCGGTGCAGCTGTCACCCTCGAGTTCAGTCACGAAGTGACTCTGATGGAGCTCATAGTTACGGCATTGCGCTCTGCTTTGTGCTTCGCCATGTACGTACAGCTGTCAGGAGGTAGCATAGAACGCGACATAGCCCGCAAATCCTCTCAGCCCCAAATCCAATCCGAGGCACAGAATAGAGTTGAACAGGATTGAGTCGGGCTGAATCCCTTGAGCCTGCATCTGGCCCAGCAGCAGAATGGCCGTCCTTGGGAACAAACTAAACCCAAATTCTGTGAGGGCAAGAAATGCTGTGACTCGCTTGGTCAAGGCCAAAATCCAAATGACATCTTCTTGCAAAAAGAAGTAATGCGACAGGGTTTGGCCGAAGTGCCGCAGGTCAGCCTAGCACAGCCTGTATGCAGCCCAATCTTGCCTGCAGCACTGACGCGTCTAACGGTTGAATCGCCGAGTTTCTCCAAATCCCCTGCGCACGAGAAGCCTGGCGCTATGCAACATGCGGATGTATCAGTCTGTCAGTTGGCACGCCACTCTGCTGCATGCTGTGAGGGGCCAAACAATGAAATGGGATTTACCACGCACATCCACCTGGCCGGTAGAAGAAGCTGACTTCTAAGTACCTTGTGGACAGAGGTCACCCTGCCTTTGATCAGGATGGAAAAGCTGATGAGATCGGGTCCTGCGGCAGACGCAAAGACAAACCAGGTCGCGTGCGTTTAGACTAATGACCCCAAAGCGCTCCTGCATCTTGGCACGCCATGTCACGAAAGAGTTGCATGGCTCTCTTCAGGTCCCCCGAGCGCACCAATGCCTGCGGCTGCTGCACGTGTATGTCACCGGCGGTAACAAGTCTCAGTGACTCGGTGCTTCAAATTTCATTGCCACTAAGCTGCGTCAATCAGGGTGTTGTACGTGACCGCGGTCAGTCTAAGCGAGCCTTTCGTTTCTTCATACAACCTTCGCAGCACGGGGCAGTGGTGAAGCTGCTTGCACCAGCCTACTGATGCAAACTAGTAAGGCTGAAAAGGCAATCAGCTTTGCGGCGACAAGCTCCCTCAACTGGAGCAAGCGCATAGTGCTTCATCGCAAAAGTTCAACGTTGCATGATACCACACACCGACCAACCGGGGGGCTCAACCGCAGCCGCAAGCTGCTGGGACTGCATGGCAGCCTTAGCATGATCAGCACGCACTCAGAGTCCAAGGCATGCTTGCACTTGAAGCATATACTGGGCCAAGGGACCTTTACCGACAGGGAGAACGCCACTGTTGCTCTTGGAAAGCCCGACAACCACATCTTTGACTCCTCTTCAGCTACGATGGGATTTCAGTCTTTGATCTTTCTGGGCCAATGGCCGGTTTTGGCAAAGCCTGTCCTTGAAGACATGCAAGGCCGATCTCACGTCTGAGGTCGCCAGGCAAGCATCCACCTTAGATCATCGTTTTGCATTGATGCAGGGGTAGAGGCTTTAACCCATGACTCGATGCTGCCCTGAGAGACTAATTCACTGTAGAGCGGCCATGCTCATGAAGGCATCCTGGCTTGTTAGAATCAATGGATGATTGCTGCAAATTACTGCGGCCCTTTTCACCACGCAGTGTCCGCTAAGATATGCTATCCTGCTTGTCTGGCTTCGCTGCAAATGAGTCAGCAAGATTCAGCCATGCCAGCTTTAAACCAGTGGAAATTGCCATGCCCCATCCTCCGTCAGGTTCTTGTCCTCAGCTAACCTGAGAGAAGACATGAGGCATGATCTTCAAGCCACCCGGTCGTCCACAAGCTCAAGAGCTGTGACAGAGGGAGCTGGAGCATTCATGACCTACGACGCCCAAGCCCTGGCTTTACGAATCTGTACGTTTGGAAAGGGGATCTTACAAGACGGAATACCTGGAGCCAAGAAGCAGTCGCCGCCAGAGCCGCCAAGCTTCCGGCAGGTTCTTCGCGTGGCCATGCGCACGCATCAGCATCACGCAGGCCTGAGTCACTGAGCAGAGAAGGCAGCATCTAAGCGATTTGCTTCAGCTGTCTACTACGTATGCACGCATGCATGCATGTGTGTTTGTTTGTTTGTTTGCATCTTTGTATGTTTGTATGCTTGTGTTTGTGTGAATGTGTAAGTGTGTGTAAGCGTACTTCTCCGGCAAAGCATGAATACCCCACTAGAGTCCAGTGCTGGTTGCAGTATGAACATCAATGTACTTACCTGGTTTCTTACGGCTGCATCTCCGCCGCGGTGCATGGGGCGATGGAGCTAGGCCCGTGGTGTCCCAGCGACGGAGCAGCTCTGGGAGTCGCCAGGGCTCCTTCAAAGCCGCATTCACAGAAATGCTTCCCGGGCTTTCAGGGAGTTGAAAGGCTCCAAAAAACCGAAAGCTGCATACAGAGTTATGTGGGATATTGTGGGGTGCCTCAGATGCTTAGCTCAGTTGACTTGCATTCCTGAACTGAGCACAGGTGCGCCGTGTGGTGTGTCATCAATGCCGGCCCTTGTGAATCATGCAAGGCCACCCACTCTTAGGCTCGTGTAGCCTGAGGAACCCGTGACCTTAAACAAGTTCTAGTACTTTGGCTGACTTTTAGACTGTGCAGACGTTCCAGCTTGCCAGGGCACCTTGAGGCGAATGCAAACGTCCAGCAAGCAATTGAGGAGCACCTCATCCAGCCCGATTTGGCCTTGCCCAGTCGGGCAACTCGCAGCTAGCCCAAAGGCACTTGCACCACGCCTTGGGCCATCAAGTCCAGAATCTGGTCAAGGCCCTTTGACGTTGGAGACTGCCGCAGGCCTGACATGATCTTCTCAGGCATTTGACTATCGGGCAGCTCTTGCAGACGTACTGCAGTGGTCACATGGAAGTGCCACTGCATGGCCCAAGCTCAAGATGTGAGAAAAATGATGCGAGGTTGTTGCTTAGTTTCATCAGGCCTGCCGCCAGGATGGAGCAAGTGAAGGCATCTGGCTCCAGCCCTGCCCGCTGCATCTCCTGCATGAGCAAAGTTTCACAAAGCTGCCTATCTATCCCTCTCGTCAGATTGCCACTCCAGATCGGGTGAACACAGACTCGAACAATGCATTGCTGAATAAAAAACCAGGTAAGATCTTGGATTGTTGCCAGATTCTCTCCTGCACAAGTTGCCATGCTTGTCGTAGATTCTGCTGCGATGCCTGCAGGGGAAATCGCTGATTCTCCTAAGAAAATTTGGCAAAAGAAATGGCCTTGATGAGTGAGTTGTAGGTCACCACATTGGGCTTGATTCCAAAGTTTCGCATATCCTGACCGGGTCTTTCTGAACTCACATCCATGCACTCGCATGTCAGGGCGCAACAGCCATCCTCCAGGGTCTTTTTGACTTCGGCGTGGTCTTGCGTGGCAAGAAGCAGCTTCACATACCTGGTCACCATGCTTGCCGTCAATCAAGGACGCGCCTCCTGCAACTGCTTTGGCAGCGTGCGTATTGTATGACACAACGTCGACATGCCCGGCTTTCCTTAACTCCGAGGCAGTGGCATGATGCGTCAAGACATCACACGCTTAACTCCATCAAATGTCAGCGCAGGCAGCAGCTTCCGCTTTGGTCAAGGCTCGTCATCTTCTGCATCAGGTTCTCTGCAGCCTCCCTGTCCCCGCAGACCACGCAAGCCTCTTGCGGGCTGTTTCAGATGAAGCATTTGTCTCAGAGCTGCACGGACAGATCGTGGCAACAGCAACTTGAGTGGTCATCAGCTGTAATATGTGAACGATGTGCTGCCCTCCGCTACGACTCCTCCCATCAGCAAACATGTGAGAATCCTCTGAGGCCTCCAAGGCACAGTTGTAGGTGGTTGCATCGAGTTGCTCTGGCCTTTCAAGGCTTTTCAATTTTCATTGATCACTTGAAGCCTGTGAGCAGACCAAACAATCGGACCTAAAGCCATGTGCAGCAGAGCACAAATGCGGATACTCAACTTTTGAAGAGTTCAAGATAATGGCCAGCTGTCATGTTCCAGGTTCCAAGGACCCGACGTTTGCTCCAGCTCTCCCAGAAGGCTCAGAGCCTTTGCAATGTCCCGGTCCCGGCCGGCTGAGCGGATCATGGACATCACGTTCATGACCTGGGAGTGCGCTGCTTCGCATAGCAGAGACGATCTGTGCTCGCGTCTCCAGGTGACGTCTGCTCATACAGGCTGTCGGTTTAACGTGTTCACTAGGGGAGGCTCGCTGGAGGAAGCTCAGTGGTGCAGAACGGCTCAGTGGTGCAGAACGCACTTAAAGCCACGACAAGCACGCAAAACGTCCAGCCAGGATCCCACACAGCCTGCTCACGATTCGTGCTTTGGTTGTCCGTGCCGCTCATCACTGGCCATTCACTCCGAAATGCGCACGATGCCAGTGCTAGCAATTTTGGGGTGGAGTTGGATCGGCAAAGCTTCAGCAAGCACTCCCCCAATCTGGAGGAACATGCCCAAAAAAAGACTATGATGGCGTTCCTTGTCTCGCGTCCGATCTATGACACTCGCTGCTCCTCTTAGCTTTCGGCATCAGGATTCTTCGACTCCTGCCCATCCAGGCTTCTTGATTTCACGGCTCTACATTCTAGAACAGTTTTGAACACCTTTACCTGGCCAGAATGAATGCATCAAAACTGCTCAAGACAGATGGAAGTGAAAACAAGCCTGGAAGAGATGCCTTGCCAAGGATTGCCGCCCATCCTCCACAGCCGCCTGACTCTCCAGCAGATCTTGGCAAACACAGGTAAGTTGCCAACTCTTGGATCCTGAGCACGTCATGCACTTGCATGCACCTGCCTTGATGAGAGCACCGTAAGCTGCCGTGTCCGGCGTGATGCCTGTGCTGAATACAAATGAGTTGCAACAGTAACAACAACCACTGCTCAGGGTCTATTCCAGCTTGCTGCAGTATCGTAAGCTCCGAATCTGGCAGTGATTGAGCTGCGCTGCATACAGCAACTTTACGGCATGCACCCAGCCTGCTCGCTCGAAGTCCGTGTGGAGATCGCAAGCTTTGTTCCAGAGCTTCGCTTGGCTGTATACTTTCAGCAGAGAGCTGTAGAGTGGCAGGCTTGGGCCGTACCTTCAGGCAGAACGTCTGGATGGCTTGGATGCTTCATGAAGAGGATTCCACGCGTTTTGCACTGTGAAACTGCCACAACCAAATGCCATACACTGGTCCAAACACCTCTCCAGCCTGCCAACACTGAAAGAAGCTAATCGCTCCGCCAGGCGAACGGCCTTACGGCAGTTACATGGCTAGTTAAAAACGCATGCCATTACATCCGTTTCTGCTCAAGGATTTGCGGAAAGCACCGTTCTGAACAGCGGCAGCCACTGTCTGACTCTGTACGTAAGGACAAAAGACAGAGGCAAAATGCTTCAGAGCTTGCCTGCGAACTTGCACAGAGCGCCATGGCTCCACAGAGGAATGCCTGTCGGCTGATTCTCAGTGGGTTGGTGGGGTGTTGTGGGCTGACGGGAGTTGGTTGCCGCTGCCAAGCCCCATGGCATGCTAGCAGTACCCGCTGGATAAAATGATTGAACATCATCCCAACGGGCCTCTTGCGAGGCAGTTTCTGCATGCCCTAAACACTCAAGTCAAGCACAAACTAAGAGACGTGGACTGAAAGTACTTGGATTAGGTTGTTTAGTTGTTCAGACAGAGTATTCAAAGTGTGAGCACGCTCCACGCGAAATAGCGGTTTCGAGCCGACCTTCCGCAAATCGCAGCATTTTGGGCGACGGAGAAGCTGCAGATACTCTACATTGCGGGCATTTTGGGCCGGATAAAGGCTTCTCTCGGAATGTGATTCCCAGGCGCCTCAACACGGGCAAGGACCTCTATCAAAATCTAATTTTCTTGCAGACGTTTCTTCGCACGCGGCACCCCAGCCCTGTGCCGCGGCGGGTCGGTATAGCACAGGCCATTGCCACGCAGCGCGCTTGCGCACCCATCATCCGCGCAGCAACGGGTCGATCAGCAACACAAATGGGATAGCACACACAGACTCTTGCTGATGCTGGGCAGCTTACATAACGCGGGCTAAGGCTGGCAGGGCGGAGACCTGCGACCGTGGGGCGTCGTTCATGGGAGGCAAGTAAGCAGGTGCCACTGCAGCCAAAGAAAGCAAGGGCAAGTTACGGCTGTTCTGCGGCAGGACAGTCTTGGCATTGGTCATGGTGATTTCAGCCTGCTGCGCAGCCGACGCAGCCGCAGCCTCAACCTTTACCCTTGAACAACGCGACCGCCTGCCGGCGCTTCGCAAATGAGGCACGGGCGCAACGGCACACAGCGGAAGGCCGAAGCGAATACTCACTCACTCGTGGCTTGCCGCTGCTCTCATCAGGCTGATTTTGACGCCAACAGAAAGTCGGTCGGCACGATCAAGGGAGTCTTGGCACGTCAGTTCCTCCTGGCAATGGCAGTTGTTGATGAAGATCTACGTTACACATAATACGGGTTCGTATTTAAAAAGGCAGGGGGTTGGAGGGCGTAGCTCCCCTTTTTGCAAACCATCGAGGATTGTGCGAATTACTAATAAACATACTACAGGTGCATGGTTAAAAAGAACTGGGGGATTGGGTGGGGCTGGCGGTTGTTGATGAAGATTCACATTAACCATGACACGGGCTCATACTTAAAAAGTGGGGGGGGATTGGGGGTGACGCGTCTAAAAATTGATAAGCATCACGGAAACGACCAAAAAACAAGAAAAAATTAAGACTTGCGCTCCGTCTCAAAAAATAAAAATAACAAGAAATATGAAAAAAAAATGAGGGCCCTAATACTGCAAAATTTCGAATAAATGAAAAACGGGGAATAGTCGCGGTCGTGGTACGAATCCGGATAGCAAAGCTGTAGCAATGCCGATAGAAACAAGAAGAATAGCAATAGGCTCAGGAGACCGGAAAGCCTCAGATAGTTTCCCTTCACGACCATTTCTTCTTTCCTCATTCGTTGTGCGCTACTTCCAGCA